CAAAATTTGAGCTGTCATCTCTGATGTTAGTCAGTACTGCTTCTCAACAAATCCTTTATTGTGCAGGTCTCTTTTTGCATGACATCTAATATCAGTGTATTTAGTACGTGCATTTAATTTCTGTGTTTGCACCATCTTTGCACTCCGGTTTTCCTCCATCAGTCCGATAGTCTTTTGCCCTGGCATTCTCAAGTTAGTTTAGCCATGATTCTTCCTTTCATGCTTCTGAAGATATGTTCTGCTTCTGTAGATAAAGTGCCAGAAAGTCTTGCAAATTACTAGTCTAGCAGATGGGATCACTCCCACAGAGGAACACATGACCACTTACAGATTTACAATACAATTTGTCTTCAGTCCAATCCAATCAGCATCTGCATATCTCTGACAGCTAATAACTTTAGTTTAAGATGAGCAGATCATTTAAAATACCTTACTATTCTCTTGAGTGCAATCCAGTCTCATGGGGTAGCACAATTTTCTGAACAGCATTCCCACTACAGATGCAATGTCAGATCTGCCAGTAGATACAACAGCTTACCTACTACTGTTCTATACATATTGATGTTTAGTAAAGTTTCACTTTGGTCAAATCTAGGATTTTGTGCCTTTGATTAAGAAGATAACAACTGGGAATCTGTCAGCATGCACCTGACTATATCCATTAAAGAGTAATGTTTCTGATCAGCTACACCATTCTGATCTGAACTATATGGAATTGTACTCAAGGTTCTGTGATGGAGCTCCTGTACTCCGACTGAGTTCCTCTGCCCAGTTCGCTTCCTAGCTGCTTGCAGGTAACCTGGAACGCTTCAGCCCCTGTCGCTGAAGCTTGAGTGGGGTCTCTACGGGGCTCTTCCAACCTACCAGGCAGCAGTTCTCCTTCCAGGCAGGTATCATCCCTTCTGCCTATTCTGCTGCAGCTCTGCTTACAGTGATTATAATAATTCCCTTTACAAAGTCAATTGCGGCTCTCAGGCCTAGCTCTCATGATTTATCCCAGGGCTAGAGGGATCCTGCAATCAGCAAACAGGTCCAAAGACTCTGTCACTAGGACCCCTCAAAATCCACACAGGACACAAGTTCCAAAAGCAACTAACATTCAAAACTTTATTTTACTTGGAACTAGCCCATATGATCATTACATATACATTGCTGTGACAAATTAATTAAATACAAATAACTAAATCATAGCAGACAACATAAAGCAACTTATTATAACACAATGACATATTTATAAGTGGGTGGGGAAGATAATAATTAACACAAAATATCTCTACTGCCTGCAGACTTAGCAATATTCAATTCTACCTGAATATGCAAATTAGCAAACCTTGCTATTCAGGTAGTGCATATAGCTGTTGTTGCAACAAACACAGGATGCTATATATATATATGCTCCATAGCCAAATCATCCTAGTTGGTAGCAAGCATCAGCAGGATAGGACAAACAATTAACAACAAATACATAATACACATACGTTACACACTCCCTGGACCTACAATGGGCACATGGTGACTTAAACATAGGAGCCATTCAGGGATCTAATTGAAGTGTCTTATGTTCCCAGTGATGGTGGCTACCATTACAGATTCTATTCCTTTTTCTTCACTATATGCAGCAGTATGGTGTGATGTACTCACCATTGTTTGGGCTTGAGACTTTTTCCAAAACAGTTTTTTAACACTTGCACTGTAGGCCTTCAATGTCTCTGAAGTCTCTGCTTTGTCTTTCATGAGATAAGTCATACAATATTTGAAATAACCATCTATAAATGTTAGTATATACTTCTTTTGTCCACAAAACATTGGCTGTATTAGACCACAAATGTCTTACTGAATTAGTTGCAGAGGCTTTGCTGAGTTTCCTTGACTTTGTTTGAGAAAATGTATCTTTGCCTATGAGACAACATTTTCATGCTTCTCTGTTGTGATCCTTTTGACAAGTATTTATGTATATTCCTCATGCCAAACCTTTATTCTCTAGATCAGAAATTGAAGTGCTGCACATATTTTACAGAGAGATTCTCTCTAGTTTTTACTGCATGAATTAATGATTTGTAGCTTTCTGGAAGACTTGATAAAATCAGAATCACTTTGTCTTCGTCATCACATTTCTTTCCAATAGAATATAAATGATCAATTAACTCCGACAATTTATTCATATTCAGGTCTCCTTCAGTTTCTTTCATAAATAAAGGTATTTCATGTAAACTGCTGTTTCTATAGCCTTTCCTAAAGTTTTTTTTTAAAATGGCATAAATCACTATTACTCACAAGTGCAGATCTCATCTCTTCTTTTGTCCTTTTTCTTCCACGAGATTATTTCTACATCAGCTGTTGGTGGGGACTGTTCCACTAGGTCCCAGATATCCTTTCTCACAAGGTCATTCGGCATTCTAAACTTCCATACCAGGTCATGTGTAGATGTGAGAACAGGCAGAGCAACACCCATAACATTCACAGTTCTAGCTTCTTCTCTGAGTGTTGAATATTAAAATTCTGCAGAGTTGTTTTAGCACAACAGCTGCATATAGAAGTCAGGACAGGAAACATATATGACGCTAAGTAATTAAGAATACTTAGTCAGTAGTTTGCTTAAACAGGAACTGACACATTTAATAAAACAAGAAAAATCACATCCCACCTGCAACATCAAGAATTTCAACATATTTAGACCAGGCACCAGTGACAATTACTAAGAGATTATTGGGGCAGATATAGAATTGCTGCTTAGTTTTGTTGCAATTATATAAAAAAAAATCTGTTGGCATGGTAATGATAGTAATAATAGTTATATGTTATCTTCACATCACCTAATATATTGATGGCTGGAAAAACATAAATAATCATGTCTAAATGTTTTGCTATTTTTATTTGATTCATTTTTTTTATTCCATTCTCATGGAATAGACTGTTTAGATATCCATTATCTTCTGTAACTAATTCTGGTTGCCCCAAAAGACAAACCGTTTGACCTGTCACTGAGTCGAACCTCAACCTTTTCAAAGTGGTTGTTGCTTTCCAATAGTATGCATTTATAGGTTTTTGATATTGAACAGAGTATAACTAATTGCATCAGGGGTTAAATACAAGGTGTAAATTAACAGCGCCCAGAAAGTCAGGGAGCAAAGTCTAACTCCAAGAGTGGAGTCTAGCACCCCACCATCTCTAAACTTCACCAATAGACACTGCTAGTATTTCTGCAAAAGATTAATGAAAAACAGAGAAAAGGATATAAAGTGCCATGATCAATACACATACTTTAATGGAATACACTGGCTATGCATCTCTTAAAATAAATGCTACCTTTCTTTTTTGAATAAAATTGTTTATACTTGAACAGTTTTTTAAAAGATATGTGAACTTTATTTCCAGAGAACTAAACTCTAAAACAATAGTACTAGCAGCCCTGCTGCTTATCTATCTCAACATAAAAGCAAGCACAGATCTTGGCCTAGTCAAACAATTTGAACAGCCAAGTTGAGGGCAACGCCTTAATTGGGTGAACAGAAATACTGAACAATGTTGACAAAAAAGATTTCAAAATTTGCAAATCCTTTTCTTCAAAATAAGCAAACCTTCGAAAAGATATTATTTAATTAGGTGCAAACACTTTGGGGTTGCTCTGTAGTTTTAACCTCCCAGAAGTTCCTTTTTTTCCTTCACTATCTCATTTTATTTGCATACATTACTTTATTTATCTATACAAAAGTACTTGTTATTTCAGAATATATATTTACATTCTGAATATGTATTTGCAGAAATGAGGAAGCTGTAGTTTAGTTTCCTCTTAAGAATGAAATGAAAAGTTATCTCAGCACAATTACTGTAAAGCTGATCTATTTTCAGCTTTAAAGGTTTGCCTTACCTGTTATTGCACTTATTCGATCTTCAGTGATTCATACAGAGCTTTGAAATACATGACTTTGGTCAAATATGACATTTATGCAGGTTGTTATACAATATATAATTTATAACACCATTTAATAAATCAGTCTCATTTTATTTTAATATGGTAGAGAATGGTGCGATTCAAAACATAAGTTGGCTTATGCTTCATTAGATGTGTCGGATCCATGCTGAGTTTACATTGATCTGAGTTAATGCAAATTTTCGGCACTTTTACTACAAATATAACCCATTTTCTCAATTTGCTCTAGTAGTGGTTTTTTATGCTGCAGAAAACCACTTGCAGATAGTGACTTGTCTTCTTTTTTATGCTCTACAGCTGTCTTTGGAGGTCAAACTTTAGGACTTCATTCTAGTAACTACAGAGGGGAAAGGAGCAGGGGAATGCTCTGAATACATTGAATGCTTCTTATTGAACAAATTTTTTTGAGTTTATTCAACTTTCTGTTTATGATCATAATACTAATTATTATTAATAGTGAAATGGTAAACCCAGGTTAGTAATAAGTTCTCCCAAGTAGAATTTGTCATCAAGGGAATCAACACAGTAAAGAAGGAGACTATATTTAAAATAAGAAAAATTGTCAAAACAAGAGGACATAGTCTTAAATTAGAGGGGCAAAGTTTTAAAAATAATTTCAGGAAGTATTACTTTACTGAGAGGGAAGTGGATGCATGGAATAGCCTTCCAGCTGAAGTTGTAGAGGTTATCACAGTGAAGGATTTGTTTTTGAGTCTCATTCTGCACTCTTCACCATATATTAGGGAACACACATATTGTGTGTATGAGTTTGTGTGTGTTTGTGTATGAGTCAGATGGTATTTGTATCAGACAGGGTTATTTACTAAAGTGAGAATTCAAAATGAATTTTAAGTGAATGTCAAGCTTAAGGCTAAAGTAGCCAAAGTGAAAGCTAGCTGACTTTTTCCTATTTGGACATTTTGGCTTTAAATTTGAAATTCTCTCGGGGCGTGGTCTGACGTATGGCGAGGACGGTCGCAAGGTACTAGTGCTCCGACCTCAAAGCCCCGTAAAAGCATTTTTTAACAGCGAACTAGAAGAATAAACATCCTAATTAACACCATACGAGATGTCTCAAGCAAAGAACAAACCCAGACTCCAGGACAAAGGAGAGAAAAATACGTTCTTCGGAACCAGGCAGCCTCAAATGAAACAGGCCGTCTCACATGAAAGCGATCAAGATGGCAACGGAGACGACACACTCCCGCTACAGAAAGACCCGACAAGGAACTTACCGGTTACACTACGAGACATAGCCGAAGGTAGGCTGGGATTCCCAGATGTACATGCATACTATAAAGCAGCAATACTCCATACCGTATCGCAAAATCACACCCCACCCCTAACAACCTCAATGGCTCAAAATAGAAACCTACTGGGCCCAACCAATATCGATCCATACATACCTATGGACCCCAGAGTAAAAAAAGGCATTCTATACAGCACCTACTCCCCACATCCCAACTACTGATAGAAATATGGGATTCGACTAAACGTAACTTAACGGCTTTCTACCCAATACCTCTAGCGACCCCGATGGAAGCCATGGCTACAATAATACCTACAATAGATAAACACAAATGGCTGGAACATAGCATCAAATATATAGAACAACTATTCGACAAAGGGGAAATGCTGCAATTCCCTATCCTGCAAACTAAATACGACCTACCACACTACATGTTGTTTCCATACCTCCAACTCAAATCATGTCTAAAGAACACACATCCCACAAAACAAAACAAAGGACCACACCAGATGCTCTCTATATACGAGAAATTCTGCACAAACGCCTTGCCCCCAAAAAAGGTAATATCATAGTGTTATAAAACACTCACGCGCACACAAGACGAAGTGAAAATCATGCATAAAATAGCTTGGCAAAAAGAACTACACCGAACAATAGATGAAGAACATTGGACAAGAGCGTACTCGTCACACAAAGGTATCACATCCTGTAAGAACCACCTAGAACTACAAAGGAAAATACAATACCGCTGGTACTTAGTACCAGCCAAAATACACAGAATATGGCCCCAGTCATCCACGAATAAATGTTGGAGATGCAATACACAAGAAGGAACAATGCTGCACGTATGGTGGTCATGCGCCACTTTACAACCTTTCTGGCGCAGAACGCAGCAATTGATTATGCAAGTAACCAAGACCAACATACAACCCACAGAAGAAATGTACCTACTATTCATACCACCGGACAATATGGACAAAGCCCAGTGGGCAACGACATACCACATACTGATTTCAGCAGCCATGATGATAGCTAGACTATGGAAAACACCCACAGCACTGAATTTCAACACCCTCCTAAACCAAATCAACCTAAACTGGCAATATGAGACCATGCTCTCAAAACAAAATGGCCCAAAGAAAACAATTATTAAAGCAAACCTGATGTGGAAAGAGTACTGGGAAATCCAAGACAAAAAGAAAGATACATCACAAAGCAAATCTCAACGGCACCATCCACCTAGCTTAGCACAACCACACTCAAAAGGAGACTCCAAGCCATATGGACGAACATCTGGGAATAAACACTAAACACCACAAGCGATTTGAATTAATCGCAAGATCAGAGTTAGACGATTGTAACTAAGGTTAACGCAAGAGAACAAGCAAACAAAGACTATTTAAACAAAGAACACCCTACAATACAGAAGCAACAATATACAATGTTAACAGGCCAGGAACAAGACAGGCTGAAAGCAGGAAAAGACAACAAGAAGACAGGTACTTGGGTCACAGGAGGCCCACTCTCCACCTACCACACCCCCCCACCCATTAACCAAACCATGTACTACTTACTTAGTTATTAATAAATATACCACTACATGTGTCAAGGATTTAAAGGTACGATGTGACGTACAACGCAATAAAGTAACCCCCCACCTCCCCTGCTCTACCTTTTGCTGCAATCCCGGCATTAGCAAACTAGGACATCTGTCAGGGTGGTGGTCCGGTGCCGGGACCCAGACACTGTCCAGGCGGCGGTGTGTGGACCGGGACCCAATATGCCTGATGTTCAGAGTAGGAGTCACAGTGTGGAGGTGGATTAGCAGGGTCTGGTGCAGGGTAACCGCACGCCCCCTGGTGTTGAGCACCAGTGTTTGTGCAGCCACAACCAGAACCCTGAATCAGCTTATGCGGATCCCAGGAACTAGGAGCAGGTTATTAAGCAGATCTCCCAGGAGCTGAATAGGGAGGCTCTGCAGCAGGGATGTATCCAGTACTGAAGCAAGGCAAAACTAGGAGAGCAAGGCACCATACAAGAAAACAAGACAAAACTAGGAGGAGAGCAAGGCAAGACTAGAAATAGGCACCATACATGAAAACAAGACAAAACTAGGAGAACCTAGAACCGGAGCAGGACAGAAAGCATAACCTAGAACATGTACACAAGACATGAGGAAAACAACAACATAACATGGGCATGACTGAACAGGACTGTACATGGACTGGGATTACAAGACAAAGTAAAACAAGATAAGAGATACAAGGTAAAACAAGAGGAAACATAGCTAAGCACTAATATGAAAAGTATGGGGATTTAGTTACATTATATGATCATACATTGCATAAGCCTGCCACAACGCCAATGTACCCCATATTCGGCAGGTCCTACACTGCCTAATATATGCTAAAACAGCCACACTAAACCACAATAGCACTTACCTGCAAGAAAGGACAGAGACATGAAACTCTGCTGCAGGTCCAAGCTGAAACAAAAGGAAAGTGGAAAACAAACGGTGTGGCAACATAAAACAAACATTTAAGTAAATCCAAGAGACTGGGAACAGGAACAGAATATAAGAATGAACCCAGAAACCCAGCAACAAAGAAAACCAGACATCGACCAGAAAACCAGAAAAACCAAGCAAGGACAGCAAAATGAGTACTGGATACCAGAAGCCATTGCCAGAATGATCGGCAGCGAGGAACAGGATGTGACAACATCAGCGCATTTGAAGTATCCACAACAACTAGCATAAAGGTTGACAACGCACCCCACCTCCCCCCCCCTCCTGTTAATAAGCTACCACCTAGAGACATTGCTTCATGTGCTGCCTTGCCTGCGTTACAAAACATGACCTGGAATTGCCCCATGACAACTACATCACATAGGGACAATACAAGCAGCTACACACTAACTTAGCCCAGGGTGAATAGAGACACGTAGACGTATTCAATCCAGGACTGTATGAGGTTCATGTGAAAATAACACGATTTGTGCACAATATTTCCCCCTCCCTTTCCTTTCTGTACCCCAACCTGTTTTACGACAAATAAAAATTGTCAAATTGAAAAAAAAAATTGAAATTCTCTTTGAAGTTTTACTTTAGTGAATAATCCTGACAGACTTATACACAAACACATGGACACATACACACACAAACTCATGTTCATGACTCAGACTCACACTATTTTTATTTCATTTTTTTTACAGTAAGGTTCACATATCATGCGGGGCTTGAATATGGTCCAAGGTCTGCTGCTGGGATCTCTCTGTAATGATTGCACAGTTCCCTTAAACTCTCTATTGATTCTATGGCTAGTATTACACATCCAGGTTCCAAGCATTATTTCAGGATAGCAAATTAACTGAACAGTCAGTGCTGCGAGATCCCTGCAGCCCCCCTTGCTAGCCACTCAGCAAAAAATTACAACAGAACCTAATCTCCCTCTTGCTGCTCTAGCGAAAGGAGAGTGTCTGCTTGTCACCAGACACTCTACTGCGCAAACCTTGCTTAGCAGAACCAATATTTTTTTGTAAAGTTAAACACTGTATTATGTTGATAAGATTTTTGGACCTCATTAGCATTACCACCAGTAAAATGTTTAAGGAATTTTGGATGAAAATTGATTTAAAAACTGTCTGCAATCCTGGTAAAAGCCATAACACATTTTTAATCAGTTACCGAAACTGTTTACCTCTAGTGTGCATTCCAGTTTAGTATGATTTTTTTAAAGATGATTTCAACATCCAAAAGGTGGACAGACAATTGATGTGCCTGGAATGTCCCTTTTACCTATATATTCAAATCTTTAGAAAAAAAAAAAAGGATAAATCAGAATAACTCAATTAACAAGAAAAAAAAGAAATAGCAGATGCTCACCAAATTACTGCAGCTGATGAGGTATAAGAAAAAGTTATCTAGATGAAGAAATCACTGGGCTGGTTACCACAAAAACACTGTGCTCAATGCAGAGCACACAACACCCAACACATTTCAGATCCAAAGACTTTCAATCATAGGAATCATTCTTATGAGTAAGGACCTCTGAGTCTTGTAGTGCAATTCTTCATGCTGATGTTGTTCATACTAGTAAAGCTACAATGATTTGTGTACTCTGCTAGAGCATGGTGTTTTTATGGTAACCAGCTTAGTTTATTTAAAAAATTAGTCCACTCTGAAGGGTCTTCTACATTATTACTCTACAGTTTATTAGCCCTTGAGCATGCATGATGGACCCGGTTGGTCATGCAATGCCTTAAAATAAAAACAGAGAGAATGAGAATTCTGAGGAGCAGAAAAGCTTAAAGAAACTCAGTAGTTTGCTCTTTTGTTAGTCCTCGCTCAGGTCTCAAATATGATTTTGCTAAAGGGCAGTCCAGAACTGAAAAAATAAGCTATCGTTTTGGCCTTATTGGGCCTCAACAGTAAGGTGTAGCTATTAGCCCTCTAAGCACAGTGAGCAAGGGATCCACATCTGTATTAAATTTTAAGCTTAGGAAGTGCTCAAGCAAATGCATTGCAACAAAAACAGAGTATGAGAACTCAGAGAACAGGCAAAAGCTTAGAGAAACTCGGTAGCTTGCTTTTCAGCTTGTCTGCCCTTAAGGTCTCAAAAATATTTTTGCTCACTTGTGCCATTACAGAGAGAACATATGCCATTTGCATATCAAACTGGGTAATCCAGAACTGAAATGCTGGCAAATTATCTCTGCACCAGAGGTACAGCAACCACATATGATCATTGCAGCCTTCTTTGAGCCTCATCAGCAAAGTGGTATAGCTGATACCACTCTTGGCACAGGTTCTACATCTGGATTACCCTTTTAGCTTAGGGAGAAGCAAATCATATGCATTGCAACAAAAACAAAGAGCACAAGAACTCTGAGAATGTGCAAAAGCTTAGAGAAACCTACCTGTGTTCATATGTTCACTGCCATACCTGCCCCACTTGATTGGAGCTTGCCGGGAAGTCCTGGGATCCCAGTGATATCACAATTTGATGCATGATACTGTCTCCATGTAATGAGTCCTGTCCTCATTGCAGTGTTGTGGGGGGGCATCCTTTGACTGATATATCTGTCTGTAAACTACTTAGAGAGATTATTTAGTATTTATTTGAAGTTGCGGATACTTGTGTCCTTATGTTGCAAGATTATGAAGAGAGATGGGTGCTTTTAAGGAGTCTATGTCTTCCCCACTTTTAAATGTAGAAGTACAA